TTGGAGAGGGACATCATGCTTGGGAGAGTGGAGGGACAGCGCAGGAGGGAAAGACCCTCTATGAGATGGATTGATTTGGTGACTGGGGTAATCGGGATGGGTGTGTCAGAGGCAGTGCGGCTGGCGCAGGATAGAGCAGGGTTTAGGGATGTTGTGCATAGGGTCGCTATGAGTGGCAAACGACTCGAGGGCACACAACAACAACAACAACAACATGTTACACGGAGCCTCAGAATCCTTGCCTCCAAGGAACCGCCTAGTTTAATCCTTTCCAGGATGAATCTGTTTTTTTCCTAGCAGTCCATGGTACCCTCAATACTCTTCTCCAGCACCACAGCTCAAAGCCATCAGTTTTCCTTCTATTCTCCTTAGTCACTGTCCAACTTCCTGATGCATAACAAGTGATAGCAAACACCATGGCCTGTATTAGATGCACCTTAGTCTCTAGAGAGACACCATTGTTCTTCAGTACACTGGAGAGGTCCCTAACAGCAGACTTCTCCATCGCAATACGTCTTTTCATTTCCTGGCTACTGGTGCCAAGAGTGTTGACCGTGGAGCCAAGCAAACTAAAGCTGTAAACAATCTCAATCTCTTCACCATCCATCTGATGATGCCAGTTGGCCCAGTGGTGAGAACCTTTGTCTTGACATGGAGCCTTAATCCATATTGGAGGCTGCAGTCCTTGAGCCTCTGTAGCAGACACTTTCGGTCCTCTTCAGTTTCACCTTTACTTGGGAAACACCACTAAACTTAAGAGACACTGGTCACAGCATAAGAAACTATCAGCAGCTGGTGTGTCTGGAATCACAGAAGCCAAGGAAACTTCAGATATAAGCTATCAGATCAAGGGCTGGACAGTGAGCGATAGATGTTGAAGGGAGTGTGTGGAAGTGGATGGGTATCCTGGTGGATGGTGGAGCAGAGAAATAAGTGGGTAAAGACACATGTGCCAAAGGCAGGGACAACACTGATACTAATGGTTAACTCCACAATAAGGGATGTATATTTCACTTTTCTGTAAAATACTTGTCTTTCTGATACTTCTCTAAATCTGAACATCAAGATTAAGAACAGATCCATTACAAAGAAAATAAAAATTGAACAGGACATAAAAAGACTTCCCCATAAGAAAAGTCCTGGACAAGATGGCTTCCCTGCTGAATTCTACTAAACATTCAGAGAAGAGCTATCATCAATTCTACTTAAAGTATTTTTAAAACTATAAAAAGAACACTCCCAGAGTCATTCTATGAAGGAAGCATAACTCTAATACCAAAACCAGGCAAAGGTATTACCAAGAAAGAAAACTGCAGACCACTATCTCCCATGAATATAGAGGCAAAAATCCCTGCCAATAGAACCCAGAAGCACATAAAAAAAATAATTCATCATGACCAAATGGGATTCATAACAGATATGAAAGAATGGTTGAACATAGGAAAACTCAATCAACATAAGTCATCATATTAACAAATCAAACAACAAGAACCAAAATGATGACCATCATCATTTTAGCTATTGATGAAAAAAAGGCATCTGAAAAAAATACAACGTGACTTCCTGAGAAAGACATTAAACAAAATTTAAATAGATGGGAATATCCTCAATATAACGAATAGTATATATGCAAAACCAAAAGCCATATCATTTTCAATAGAGAAAGAGTAAAAACATTTTTTCTTGCAAACAGGGACCAGACAAGGATGTCCACTGTCACCATTTCTATTCAATATTGTACTTCAAGTGCTTACTAGGGCAATATGACAAGAGAAGGAAACAAAGGACATCCTGATAGGCAAAGAGATGGTTAAACTGTCGCTATGTGCAAATGATATGATAGTGTACACAGAAAAACCCAAAGAACTCAATAACAACAAAAATAAAAACTTCGTAGAGCTAGTAGACAAATTCTGCAAAGTGTCAGGATATAAGATCAATGTCCCCAAATGAGTGGTATTCCTCTACAGTAACAATGAGAACTCAGAGAAGGAAACCAAGAAAGCAGTACAATTTACAAGAGCAAATCAAACACTGTTATCTAGAGACACCAAAGACCTGTACAAAGAAAACTACAGAATATCTCTGTGAGACATCATAAAAGACCTAAGGAAAAGGAAAATGCAATCTACATGTTTAATGCAATCCAAATACAGTTACCAAATTCCTTTTTCAAGGAGATCAAAAGGGAAATTTTGAATTTATTTGGAGTGGAAAGAGACCCAGAATAAGCAAATGACTTTTGAAAGATAAAACTGAAGTAGAAAGCATAATACTCCCTGATCTCAAAACTTACTAAACAGCACTAGGAACCAAAACAGTATGGTGATGATAAAAGGACAGGGACATAGACCAATTGAATAGAATCAAGAACCCAAATTTGGACCCAATTATCTATGGTCAACTAATATTCTATAAGGAATTAAAATCTATCAAGAGGGGAAATAACAACCCATCGACAAATGATGCTGGCAAAACTGTACTACTGAAACTGTAAAAAACTAAAACTGTAACTCAAACTGCACAAAGCTGAAACAGGATCCACATTTCATACCATACATAAAAACCAACTCAAGAGAGAACAAAGTAAATTCCAAAATCATAAAGTTCATCAGAGACAAACTGGGATCAAGTTTAGACAGCCTAGTCTATGGCACAAAGAGTGCCAAATACAGCCAGAAATGCTCAATCTGGAGAGAATAAAACTGATGAATGGGACCTTTTAAAGAATAAATACCTGTGCACATCAGAAAATTTTTCCAATATGCTGAAAAGAAAACCTACTGACTGGGAAAAACATTTGTCAATACAATTTCAGACAAGGGCCTCATATCAAAAGTTTACAGAATCCTACAAGGCCTCCACAAGAAAAAGACTGATAATACAATTACAAAATGGGAAATAGACATGAAAAGATTTTCCCAGAGGAAGATATTCAGATGACCAACAGACACATAAAGAAATGCTCAAAATCACTGGCAATAAGAGAGATGTAAATCAAAACCACAATGAGATACCATATCACCTCAGTAGCAATGGCAAAGTTTAAAAGGGCAGAAAGTAATAAATGTTGGAGAGGATGTAACAAGATAGGAACTCTTACATATACACTGTTGGTAGGGTTGTAAAATGGTACAACCACTCTGGAAGGCAGTTTGCTGTTTTCTCAAAAAAGGCAGAAGGTCAAGGACTGCAGCCTCCTATATGGATTGAAGCTCAACATCAAGGAAACAAAGATTCTCACCACTGGGCGAATTGCAGCATCGGTATGGATGGTGAAGAGATTGAGATAGTTAACAGTCAGTTTTAGTTTACTTGGCTCCACAGTCAACACAATTGCTAACAGCAACCAGGAAATCAAGAGATGAATTGCACTGGGAAAGTCAGCTGTGAGGGACCGCTCAAGAGTACTGAAGAGCAACAACATTAGATTGGAGACTAAGGTGCACCTGATCCCGTCTATAGTCTTTGCAATTACATGCTATGCATCAGAGAGTTGGACAGTGAACAGGGATGACAGAGAATTGATGCCTTTGAGCTGTGGTGCTGGAGAAGAGTGTTTTGTCCTGGAGAAGGTGAAGCCAGAATGCTCCTTGGAGTTAAGGATTCTGAAGCTTCATCTGACATACTTTGGGCATGTTTCAAGGAAGGACTGGTCCTTGGAGAAGGACATTATGTTTGGGAAAGTGGAGGTATGGCACAGGAGAGTAAGACCTTCGATGAGATGGATCGATTCTGTGACTGGAGTGGTGGGAATGAGTGTGTTTGAGACGGTGAGGTTGGCACAGGATAGAACGGTGTTTAGGGATCTTGTCACTATGAGTTGCAAGTGACTCGATGACACATAACAACAACAACAAATAGTAGTAGTAGTAATTTTTTTAAAAAAATTACGTTGTTTATTTTCATTTCAATGAACATCT